CCATCAGGAATGTCTACAAGAAGGAGAAGGCCAGGGTCATCACAGAGGAGGAAAAGAACTTCAAGGCGTTCGCCAGTCTGCGCATGGCCCGCGCCAACGCCCGGCTCTTTGGCATCCGGGCGAAGAGAGCCAAGGAAGCCGCAGAGCAGGATGTTGAGAAGAAAAAATAAAACACTGTTGGGATCTTGTAATAAATGCTCAGAAAAGAAAAAAAAACAAAAACAAAACCCAGGGGCAGTGGCTCGCTGCTGTGATCCCAGCCCTGAGGAGGCTGAGGCGGGAGTATTGCTGCAAATTCAAGACCGGCCTGGATCACATAGTAAGACCTTACCTCAAAGCAATGAAGGAAGAAATCACTGCATTGAATGGATGGATGGATGGATGGATGGATGGATGGATGGATGGATGGATGGACAGACACACAAGTGAGGGCCCGTGGACCGTAAGCAGCAAGGAGGCCCAGGAGCCAGGGGCAGCTGTCCACAGAAGCGCAGCCCCAGGCTCACATGCAGCCCTGATCTCCTGAGGGCTAAATCTGCGTGGGCTCCACTTCCTCAGCTCTGCACCGCACCCCAGTCAACCTCTCCCACACAAGCACCTGGAGAACTTACCCTTCCATTTAAAGCCACTGTTTTTCTCAGCACTCTGGGAGGCTGAAGCAGGGGGTATCGCAAGGTGGAGCCCAGCTTGAGCAGTTTAGCAACTTAGCAAGGCCTTGTCGCACATCAAAAAATGACAAGGGGCTTGGATGGAGCTCAGTGTAAAAGCTCCACATTCCGGCCCAAGTAAAGCCAAAAAATAGGCAAACAAAGCCCCTTCTTTAGATTACCAAAGGAGCCAGGCATGGTGGCACGCACCTGCAATCCCAGCACTCAAACTGAAGCGGAGGATTGTTGCGAGTTTGAGACGAGCCTGGGCTACAAGGTGAGCATAGCTGAGCATACAGCAAGAACCTGTCTCAAAAAGAAAAAAAAAAAAAAAAAAGCCAAAGGAGATCCCCTCTAGTGTTTCATTATAAAAATGCTGGGGTTGGGGCCGGGGAGATGGCTCAGTGGAATAAGCGCTTCCCTGGCAAGCGCAAGGGCCTGGGTTCAATCCCCAGTTCTGAAAAAAAAAAAGGCTGAAGCACAAAAAAGTTAAAAGGAATTTTAATTTTAATGCAACACTCATATCCACCACCTATATTCTGTCATTTATATATTATTATTATCTTCAATCTTCTTATTTGGTAAAAGGGTCTCACTACATATCTTGGACTCACAGTGACCCTCCAGCCTCAGCCTCCCAAATGCAGGATTATAGGTGGGGGCTGCCATGCCAGCTTCTCCCCCAAAGCCTCTAATCCCTGTTACCATAGCAACAACAGCATCTCCAGCCCCCGGGACGGAAGTGGAGCTGCTCCCCGCTTCCCCAAGAACCCCCAGTCCTCCCTTCTCTGAGACTCTGTAGTTTCATTCTTTGTCACATTGTCTGGGCTGTTTCCGGTAATTTTCCTGCCTCCCATGCAGAAGCTGCCCTCCTGCAGGGATCTGGTGGTACCCACTGCAGCAGTTGGCTGCCGTTGCCATGGATACCACAGCCTGTATCAGCACGGCCTGTTCCTCTTTCCCGAAGTTAACACCAGTGTGGATACGACAGTGCTGTCCAGGAGCCTCAGGCACCGAAATGCCCCCAGGAATATGGTGACTTCAGGTCCCAAGGTGAGGAATTGGGACTCCCTGCATCCACCCGGAGCAGGGTGAGGTCGACAGTGTGCCATCTTGGTTTCTGGCTTCCCTTTCCTTTATTTATCTGTGTATTTGAGGCTGCTTTGGGATGAGGGAGGCCTCACTTGCAGCTCCCCTGGCCTCAAGCCCACAGCATGTCGGACTCTGGCACCCCTTTGGCAAATGCTGCAGCCAGCCTCTGGGCCAGGTTTGGGCCACCTGTCCACCATGCCAGGCTGTGGATATGCTTTCTGAGCTTTTCTGACTCCCCTTACAGCAATATCAAACTGTCTGAAATGTGGGGTGTTGCCCCAGCTTGGGTAGATGCGCAAGAGGTGGGCTCGGCAAGCCACAGGCAAAATCCAGCCCAGCAGAGAGGCCGAAGGAGTCCAGGGCTTCCGGCGACTGGGCCTGGGGGAAGGAGCTGGGCATCAGTCCTCGGTCCATTGCCCCTGATAACTGCGCACATCCTGTTTGCAGAGTTGGGGATCAATACAGTACCCCTGCAGCCACATCTGCTGCCCTCCAGGCGCGTTCTGGAGATCCAGGGTCACTGGGCCCATCTCCCCGCCTCCCCAGGACACAGCCCCAAGACCCTGTGTGGAGCCGCTCCAGCCTGGCACGAGGCTCCTGACGGGCGGGGAGGGGACGGCTGCCGCCCGTGCCCACACCCCTCGCTGTGACCACAGGAGGCCTCATAAGGCACCTAGGACACAGGCACAGCAGAGCAACCTCCTCCCGGACATCGAGAGCCGCCTCACTCTGCAGGTGAGAGACGTCGTGGGGACCAGGCCCCCAGCCTCGGCCCATCAGGGCATCAGGCCCTGCCAGTCAGGTCACGGCACCTGGGGCTGGGACCCTTCCCAGCCTCGGGGATGACAAGGACCCAGCCCTAGCATCATCCTGAGCCTCATCTCCAGCACCTTCCTGAGCCAACATGGCCCAAAGGATTTCCACAACCACAGTCCTGTCCCTGTGGTGGCTGTGAGCTGCATGGGCGCCTGAGATGGAATGAATCCTGGAGGGCTGGGGAGGTGGCTCAGTGGAATAAGTGCTTGCCTGGCAAGCGCAAGGGCCTGAGTTCAATCCCTGGTACCACCAAAAAGAAGAAGAAGAAGAAAAAGGAATGAATCCTGGAGCTAGGTTTTTTTTTAAAATTTTTTTAATTTTATTTATTTTGTGTGTGTGTGTGTGTGTGTGTGTGTGGCCAGCTCAGCCCACCAGGGGGCGGGGCTGGCTGGCATGTGGTGCTGGGGGATTGAACCGTGGTCCCTGTGCTTTAGCTAAGCTTGTTCTAAGTAGATGCTTTAGACCACTGAGCCATCTCACCAGCCCCATAGGTTTTTATTATTCACTGAGACAAGGTCTTCCTGAGTCACTAAACTGCCCACATTGGGCTGGAACTTGGGATCCTCCTGCCTCAGCCTCCAGGAATGCTGAGACAGTGGGCTCTAGTGGCTCTAATGCGTGGCCTCTGCGCCCACGTGGTCACCTCCGAGCTCCTCTGCCCGCAGACACCATGCCCCGACTGTGCGTGTGCACGCTGGCCGTGATGCTGGTTCTGGCCACCCTCTCTGAGGCCTCCTGGAGACCCCGCTCCCAGCCGCAGGACACGCCCTGGGACCCGATGGCTGGCAAGGACCTGCCAGGCCCCGCCTCTGCCCACCGGAGCCAGCTGGGGCCCCGGGGCCCCGCCCAGCTCCGCGCAGGTAGGCCTTGCTGACCGCGCTCGCCGCCCGCCCCGCCCCTGCTCGCTGCGCGGGCGGCCCGACGCTCCGCTGTCTGTTGCCTCCTAGACCTGTCCAACAAGCGCGGGCCGTGGACCGAGGAGGAGGAGGTGTACGGGTGGATGGACTTCGGCCGCCGCAGCGCCGAGGACCCGGACCAGCGTCCCTAGCCGAGCTGTGGGCCGGCCGGGCTCCGTTCTGAGCAAAACAAATGCAAATAAATTCACTCCCACGTTCAAGACTGAGTCACTGCCTGGAACAGGGAAGGGTGGCCGGGCTCAGCGCCCCAAATCCCCGCAGGTGCGGTCTGAAAGCACGGAGAACTGCCTCTAATCTTTTATTTTTGGCAGCCAGCACCGGGGATTGAACCCAGGGCCTTCGGACAGAGCCAACCCCCAGCCCATTATATTTTTTTACTCTGAGTAGAGATCTCGGTAAATTGCCCAGCCTTTGCTCCAATTTCACCGTCCCCCTGCCTCAGCCTCAGGAGTGCTGGGGTGACAGGTGTGCTCCACCATGCCTGAGCCAAAGCAAATTTTAAAGATTAAATCAAGGGGCCAGGGAGATAGCTCAGTGGTTTAAGTGCCAACCTGGCAAGCCCAAGGTCCAAGTTTGATCCCCGGTACCACCAAAAAAAA